GTGTGTGTCCTCCTAGCCATAGCAGGGGACACAATGACAATAATGAATGTGGTTACTGTCATTACCGGGGCTGCTTATGGTGTATGCTGAGTTTGCAAACCAAGACACAGACTGACTCCCTTCCATCCCAGGCGGGCAACAAGAGCCTCATTCTGGTGCTATGTATAGGGCCTCCCCTGGTAGAGAGGCAGTGTGAAGAAGTGTTGCTTTAAATAATGGTACCTGCAAGCCTGAAATAGGTCTCCCAGGCTGCAGCAAGTAGCTTACAGACAGTCAAGGGAGAGGAAGGTGGGAGAAGGGTGGGCAAGGCACTGCCAGTCCAGGGAGCATGCCTGCCCTCCACTACAGGACACGGGAGGGGCCTTCCCCAAAGCTCAGGGAACCGACTAGCAGCTTATGTCCTTCTTCATGACCCCCAGGTGGGGCCTGGGGCTGTCTGGCTGAAGGATGTGGACATCAGTCTTTGGCAGAAATTGGGTTTCATTAAAGTTTAAATTTTGCCACGCATCACTGACATTGGCAAACAAATTCAGCTTGAATGAGTCCCTGGTGCATTTTTTTATAATGTGTACTTAAATTCTATGCACAAAGTGAACTTTTTAAATTTTATCTTTAAAATAAAAGCCATCTATGTGTATGATAAAGATGATTCTAGTGACACAGAAAGATATAAATTTTTTAAAAAAGTATACATGTCCCTCCCCCAACTTCAGTCTTGGATTCTTCTCCCAAAAGAGAAAGAACACATTATGGATACACTGTCTCAAAAATATTTGTGTGGTTGTGTGTGTACACATGTGTGTATGTGTGCACATACAAATGAGTATTAGTACACACACACACACACACACACACACACACACACACACACACACACACACAAGTATACTGTTTCAATTTACCTAAATGATGTCCTAACATGTTACTATTTTTTTTTAACTTGAGGATAAGGTACAATCTAGACTGTTTTTATTGAGTCAGTTTCCAACCATTAAGAATTCGATAACACTTCTCCAAACAGCAATATCTAGGGATCCATTATCTCCTTGCTCCTAACACTCAGTTCTGAGGCTGTTTCGCCCCTCGCACAGCCTTGTATTTGTATTTTGATTCATGTACCTCTCCCGTCCCCCTGCTTTGATTTCCCTTCCTCACCCTGGGTGTCTTGGAGACTTTTCTAGTGCATCCCCACACAGGTGTTCTGCTCGCACTCGGGAACCACAGCATCATTTATTGATCTAATTCTGGTTTGATGGACGTGGCTGTTGCTTCCTAGTCTCTCTCTGCTTCTCTCTGCTCCCACAAGCAGTGCTACAGTGAACATCCTCATACATATTTTTTGTTCTGTCACACTGTTGCAAGCGTAACTAAAGAGCCCCCTCCAGGGGCTGGAGCGATGGCTCAGGGGTTGAGAGCGCTGACTACTCTTCCAGAGGTCCTGAGTTCAATTCCCAGCAACCACATGGTGGCTCACGACCATCTGTAATGAGATCTGACACCCTCTTCTGTGTACATAATAAATAAATAAATCTAAAAAAAAAAAAAAAAAAAAGAGCCCCCTCCAGGGAGCACAGTTCTTGTCCAAGAATTTACATGTTCTAATTGCCATAGATTTTTGCCCCAAAGGTATAGACCAATTCCCAGGACCACCAACAAACCTGCAGGGATACCTCCCCATTCTTCCCTTCCACGGCCCTTCCCCTTCCCTAACCTCCCCTTCCCCTCCCCTTCCCCTTCCTCCTCCCTTCCCTAACCTTCCTCTTCCCTTCCCTTCCCCCTTTGCCTCCCCTTCCTCTTCCTCTTCCCTTCCCCTCCCCTTCCCTAGCCTTCCCCCTCCCCTCCCCTTCCCTAACCTCCCCTTCCCTAGCCTCCCCTTCCCCTCCCTCTCCCCCTTCCATTCATTCTTGTGTTTTGACAATCTGACACACAAATAGGGTCTTGTGTGCTTTAATTCAGTTTCTTTCATTACAACAGAGGCCAAGTATCTTTTCATGAATTTCTCAGGCTTTTCTCTCTATTTCCCTTCCCCTGATGTTTTTTTTAAAAAAAAAAAAAAATATATCAGATTGCATTCTTTCACTTTCATTTATCACCATTGTGTGTGGATATGTGTGGGGTGTGCACACCTGTGGCTGGCACACATTTACTTGAGTTCTAGGGATAGAACTCGGGCCCCTCGGGTTTTGCTCGCTTTTACCTGCTGAGCTATCTCGCTGGCCTCCAGCGCCCATTTCTAAAAGCGGATCATCTTTCCAGACAACCTCTTCTCCCAACACCCTCTCAGATTCACCTACCCCTTTAAAGACACCATGCACTTTCCCCCACAGCTCCTTGGATCAGAGGGGTGGAGCAGCAAGCAAGGGGCAAGTACTTGGGACAGTGCTGAGAATAAAGAAGGGAACTATCTACTCTGAGAGAGCTTAGGTCCCTGCTGTCATCCCCAACAAGGGACAAGAGACAGACAAGACCTGTGGCCACTGGAATAGATAACAGGCTACAGCAACAAGAAGGTTCTGGTGATACTGCAGAGTCCGGGAAAAACTGTACACATGCTCAGTCACATACCAGAGTCGGGCAGTCCCCAGATGAAGGTGGATCTCTTAGGGGTGTGGCCTCAGCCTTGAGCTGGTTCACAGCCAGGCTCAGTGGGACCAGGACCCTGCCTCTTATTATGTGTGGAACTATAGGTCAGTGCGAAGGTGTATCTGATCCTTGGAACTCTTAAATGGCTTGCTAAGTACCCTCAAGAGTGTTAATGTTAATGTAAGGATCAAGACAAAGCTCCTCCAATGCCAGCAGGGACACATTGCAACTGTACAGAGAGCATATTAATGTAACACTAGCATAGGGAGCTTACAGAAAACTTAAATTTAAATTGTGTAAGTTACTTTTTATTAAGGTTCTTTTTATCATCTCAGAAATATCTTTTGGGGAGGGGTACTAGCCATTTGTATTTATTTTCTCTCTCTAGCACTTTATAATAATATTATTTTCTGTTTTTACAGTGGTTTTTGCTTGATTCAGTTTGCTCTTTGGTTGATTGGTTTTAATGATCTTGGCAAAGTTAAAAAGTTGATAGTCTTATATAGATTCATATTTTAAAGTGCTACTTGTCCATGGTATCCAAGAGTTGGGGAACTGCTGTATGAAATGAAGAAATCTATGAAAAGTGTCTGGAACACAGATGGTACCATCATTGGGAAGGGTCATGATGGTGGTGACCATGATGATGATGGCGGTGGAGAGGATGGTGGTCATGATGATGGGAATGGAGATGATGATAATGGTGGTGATAATGATAATGATAGTGGTGGTGGTGATAATGATGGTAATATCATGGTAGTGATAATAATAGTGATGATGGTGATAATCATGGAGAGGACAGTGATTATGATGATGATGGGGTGTTGATAATAATAATGACGGGTAATAATTATGATGATGGTGATGGTAGTTGAGATGTTGGCAGTGATAGTGGATGGTGGTGGTGATGGTAGTAACCATAATGTTGATGTGGTAGTAGTGATGTGGTGATGTTGGTAGTGATGGGATGAGGGGTGATGGTGAACATGGTGGGGAGAAATTATGGTGATGAGGATGGTGGTTATGTTGATGGTGACAGCAGCAGTGATGATGGTGAAGGTGGTAATGATGATTGTGGTGGTGGTATAGGTGATGATAACGACGGTGGTGGTGGTGGTGGTGGTGGTGGTAATGGTGGGAGAGGTAACAATGATTGTGCTGTTGGTGACAGGGCGGATGTTGATCATGGTGGTGGTGGTATGGGTGATGATGGAGAAGGTGGTAGTGGTGAATGGTTATGATGATGGTGACCGTGAGAGTGCTGATGGTTATGATGGTAGTGATGGTAATGTTATGGTAATGATGGTGGTGATGGTGATGTAATGGAAATGATGGTGATGGTAATTATGATTACGGCAGTGATGAAGATGGGTAATGGTAGGAGCAAAGATGGTGGTGGTGATTGTGGTGAGGCGGTGATAATGGTAGTGGTGATGATGATGGCGATGATGATGGGTCCATCCAGGCCAAGACTCTTATAAAACTAGCAGCTCCTATGAATGAGCTACTCCATCCCAGTCTTGGCATACCCTGGAAATAGATGGCTTTGAATTTGCCCACCAAGGTAGCTGGACAAACTCAAGGACCCTGAGAACTGGGGAGAGATATCAATGATCCTACCTCCTCTTTCCTCCGGGGATCCTGCTGGACTATTGCCTAGTGATACAAAAGGTTATCTCTCAGGGCCACTGTCCCCATCCCCACTTTACCTAGTGTCCTCTTGTTAGAACCCTCTTCACTGACCTGCATCATTCCTGCCTCTGCTCTCCTGCCACCTGCCCATCAAGGCCAACTCTGTGGTCCTTTGGGTGACAAGTGCCTGAGGAGCTGATTGAGGCCTTGGCTCTGAGTCAGGCATGTGGACAAGAGCCAAGCCCTCTGGCTCTGGAGGCTCTGTCCCCAGCTCCACTGGGTAGCACTGTATGTAGCATAAAGGAAGAGCTGATGGAGAACACTTGGGGAGATGTGTAAATTTCCCTGCCTCTGTCACCTGTCTCTTTTGATTAATACTCACGACACAGCCCTGTGCTGGCCAAAAACCAAATGTCCCCGTCTTCTCAGTGAGTCACAAGCAGGAGAGGACAACAGCCTCTAACCGAGCAGCCCTGGGAGGTGTGGTCATGGGCAGGGAGGCGTGGCCATGGGCAGGGAGGCGTGGCCATGGGCAGGGAGGCGTGGCCATGGGCAAAGGACTTTAAACTGAATCCTGAAGACATGAGCAAAGTCCTGTGGCCTACTGGAGGGGCCACATCCTATTGATAAGGACTTGCTAGGATCCCATAACATGGCCCAAGAACTTCCTCTAATCTTCATTCAGAGTAAGGTGACCCCATGACCTTTGACCCTGAGCACAACTTGACCTCTGCACCTCTAAAACTACCTACCTTAACTTATTGGCTATGTCATCTGTCTCCCAGGTACATGATCACCAGCCTGGACCGCACCCACGCTGGCTTCTACCGCTGCATCGTGCGCAATCCGGATGGGGGCCCTGCTACAGCGGCAGACTGAGGTCCAGGTGGCCTGTGAGTACAGTGGGGACTGGGGCAATAACGGGCCACTACTGCTGCCTTTCACCCCCTGTTGTAAGTCAGTGGAGCCCTTCCTGCATGGCCAGGTCAGTTCCTTTCATTGTACACCTGGTAGAACTGAGGCTCAGAGTGGGCATGGGAGCTCTCCAAAATCACACTGCTGATCAGTGGCTCTGGTTTCCTCTGTGCAGAGGCTGGAGAGCCAGACATTCCCCGGCACTTTGTTCCAGAAAAGCATTACCTTGATTCTGTCATCCTCTAGCTCATTCAGCAAGAGCAATGGTTACATTGACTTTACTGTCCTCCAGATAACTCACCTGGAGCAATCAGAGCAAAGGGTTCCCATGATCTTCAGGAGGCATTGGGAGACACCTCATGTGGGAGAATAATAACCCTAGGAGGGGGTAAGGAATGATGTATTGGGGCTCCCAGAAGTACCAAGGGGGCAGAGGGTAGAGGAATTGGTCATTACTCAACCTTTGTGGTTGAATCTTTCTCCTCAGTGCCACAAAAGCCCAGAGAGGCTTCCTCAGTAAGAGGGAACAGCAGTGGTCAGAACACTAGGTCCCCCCAGGGACCACCACCCCCCAAAAGCACTTGGCATCCCTTCCCCCAGACCCACTGCTTCCCAAAAGACCAGCTCCTTGCTGCAAAGGAGACCCCATGGTGGGTTCTTTTAAGCTGGCCAAGGACACATCGGTGGTCACAGAAGTCTGGGAAATTTTCCGCGAGTGCTGGAATTTTACAAGAGAAGCCACCTCTGAAAAGTAACAGTGGAGTGAATACCAGGGAGAGGCTGCTATGGGGAGAGAAGTTGAGGATAGAAAGCATAGAGAAAGGAGAAAGCCTCAAAGCCATGTCAAAGAATGTGTGTGATAATTAGGGAAAACAGCCGTAATCAAAATAAACCATAAACCAACCATCAAAGACAATTCAGTTCACACCCTAAGAGCAAAGCCCGAATCTCAACACTGGGTTTCAGGAAGCTGGCAGTACTAAAAGACGGCCATGGGGCATCTTACCTTAGTGCCAGGGATGCCCACCTTTGTGACATTTTGACAGAACGTTGTCATTTACAAAATTCACTCTCAAGAACCCTGCATTCTGCTGGGCAGTGGTGGCGCACGCCTTTAATCCCAGCACTCGGGAGGCAGAGGCAGGCGGATCTTTGTGAGTTCGAGGCCAGCCTGGTCTACATAGCGAGACCCAGGAAAGGTACAAAGCTGCACAGAGAAACCCTGTTTCGAAAAACAAAAACAAAAAAAAAAAAAAAAAAAAAAAAAGAACCCTGCATTCAAGTTACAAAAGAAAATACACATTCACAAAAATCTCATAATGTTTGAAGGACATTTCTTATTTTGTGTTGCCCACATTCATAACTATAGGGTACATGCAGCCCACGGACTGTGAATTGGACACACTAGCTTCTCATCATGTCCCAGAAACCTGCAGGCATGGAGCTGGGGGAAGCCTCCAGAGAGATTGTATGCCCCATGTGTATACATACACTCACATGCACATGTTCAAATGTATTCATAAAGGTCGATCTGTCTTTGATTTATGTGTGTAAGGAGAATGAACATATCTGTGTGCACGTGTGTACACATACACGTGTCTAAAATACACGTGTCTGGGTCAATATGCCTCTATGCAGCAGTGCATATGTTTGTGCAGATGTGTGTCCACACACTGCATGGATTTGTGTATGCAAATGTGCATACACACACACACACACACACACACACACACACACACACACACACACAGCCTGTGCTCACAGGTGTGTGTGTATGCATCTAGAGATGTGCAGATCTAACTTGACCTGTTCTTTCCTCTTGGGAGTGCAAGAGAGAACATGCTCTCCCAGCTTTCTCCATCAGTTTGTCTCTGTCTGTCTGTCTCTCTGTCTCTCTGTCTGTCTGTCTTCTTGCACAGGGTCACCATTCTAAGAGTGGGTGGTACCTGCTGTTTCTCCCAATCCCTGGCTCACCCTCCCCTCTTTTGCTATGCCCACCTGGGGGCGGGGGAGAAGCTGGCTCCTGTGGCTTCAAGCAGCTTGCTTCCCAGTGGCCTTTATAGGGATCCTGACAGGCCCCACCCCAGCTCCCGCCCCTCTAAAGAGGGCTTGTGACTTGTGTTCTAATGAGAAATTAATAAGGGCAGCTGTCTAACAACTAATGATAACGGCAGGGTCGTTTTTAAAAAAGATTCTTTACATGTTTTTAATTACAGCAATTAAGAGGAGTCAATAAAACCTCTCCCCTGACCCAGCCCCCTCCCTGGCCCCATGCAGAGTCTCTTCTTTGTGTTTTAAAAGTCGCCATAAATTTCTGCCATTGAACGAGTGGAATGAATGGCCAGGAGATCGGAAAGGTTCTCCAGACTTGGGATTTCCATGAGCCAGACTTTCACCACATCCAGGGCCTGTTGGTACCTCTCTGTTCCCCTCACCTGGGTGATGCCCCATCCTTCCCCTAGACCTTGCTGACATGCTCAGAATGGAATTTGCCATCCCATCCCATCCCACCCCACAATGCCAAACAGGGCATGGCAAGGGCCTGCTTGTCCTGGGAACCAGACCCACTTCCCTTGTTATCCGTGGGATTTGGCATCACTCTGTAGTCGTGAGGACTGGGCTGACACTGAAACGCCTCTGAGTGGCCAGCTTATCCTGGTTGCCCATCTACAGCGTGAGTGTGGAGAAAGGATGAGACGGCAGGGACTGTGCAGCCTCTTGGGGCAATGTGACAGGTTTGTCATGAGCGTCCATTGCGGGACGTTTACATCCATCACTAATGGCTGTAGCTAGCTACGCGTAGTGGCCTACGCCTGTCATCCCAGCTCTCAGGACTCTGGAAGAGAGGGATGTCAGTGGGTTACAGGCCAGCCTCAGAAACATGGCAATACCCTGCCTGGAGAAAAAATAATAATGAGTACAATTGCTGTAGTGTCCCACAGCATTCCCAACACTGTTCCAGGTAGTGATGATCCAGCAGGAAACACAATCAAGATCCCTCCCTCCAGGAAAGCTAAGCCGTCTATACATATAATATAATATTATCTATATGAGGCCCATGAATGAATGCACTGTATTACAAGGAAAAAAATGGAGCCGTATGAGAGGAATAAGGGAGAGGAACAGGAATCCTACTCCATGAAATAATGGAGAATGACCACTAAGGACGTGAAACTGAGCAGTCTGGTAGGAAGATGGGTGAGCCACATAGAAGCAAAGATCATCCGAAGCCAGGGAACAAGTATAAAGGCCCTGTGGTACACTTGAGGGTCTGGGCTTGGGGTGGCTGGAGCAGAGCGAGGCCAGCAGAGAGCCTCAGAGGTAGACTGGGGATATGGAGCTTTGGGTCAGACCATGGCATAGTACGCTGCCCTCAGAATGAGCTGGAAGTCATTGATGGTTGAGGCAGGGCTGAGGTAGGATCTGGTGGAGAGATGGGTGTTGTTTTCATGATAAATACATAAAACCACAAGGAGATACTTGGCTGTGTGCACCCAACTGACAAAACCCAGCCTGCAACCAGACCACGTGTGAAAGGGATACACCTATATAATTGGTAAATTGATGAGATTAAGGAAGTGGTGGGTGGCATAATTAGTCAAATTACCGTGTATGCACCCTTCCAGCCAGCAATTGCATCTTTGGAATGGTTGCCCTAGAGGTCTCCCCAGATCCTGTGTGCTGGGAGGGCCATGGGACGGTGGGGGGACACGGGGGGGGGGGGGGGTCTGTGCACAGCTTCAGCACCATGTGACCCAGGGAATTCCAGGCAGCTATGAAGATGACTGAACTGAAAGCCAGGATTTCAGTGGTGGTGGGGATGCCACAAGAACCACATTATCCATTTCCCCCCCCAAAAAAAAAAATCACAAGAGACCACATACAGAGTAATCCCAGAGGTGAATGTTTAAAAATAGGTTGAATTAGCCATGAAAAGCCTGAGTAATCCTGTTTATGAGGACATATGGGTAGGTGGCCCAGCATTCTGGGGAGAGGTTAGCCCTGAAAAGGCCAGAATGGGATGGGGAGGCAGCCAGGGAAGGGAACTGAGTACCCACAGTGTCCTGACTTTTGAGCTGGGTGTTGACTTTTTTCTTCAAATTATACATATAATTATATTCATTTTTGTATGCATGATCCATCTGAAGATTTAAAGATAAGTAGGTACAAGGATGTATTCTACAGTTAGAATTCTTACCTCACGGGCCCTTTTAAGCGCTAACAAAGACATCAAGCGTGAGCTCCAGGCCACATCCTGCTGTGCCTCAGGCCTGCGGTCCTCTGCTCCGGTGGGAGTGTGTCTGGAAGGCTGGCTAGGCCCTGCAGGGCATAACATGGTGGGTGGGTGGATGGATTAGCAGCATTTTGGGGAGTTAGCAAAGAGAGTGAGGAAAGTTCCCAGGGGACCTGGACCCAGCCTGACCTCCTCCAACCTGTTCCCCTGCCTCCCCCCGCCACCCCCCGGCTGTTCAGTACATCCCAGCTGTGTGCAATGAGCTGAAAAGTGTGTATGTATACAATGGATGCTGCCTGCTTGGTCCAGGGGCTCTCTGAGCAGATCCTAGAGCTCATGTGACATTGAAAAGGAGAGGATTCCTGGGGCCTGGGGGTCACGGTGGGGTAGGGACTCTGAAGTAGAAGCGTATAGGATGGGATCTATGCAGACCAGAGACCAAGGCTAACTAAGACCGTTTTTCCTCTACCCATCCCACTGTAAACATATACATGCATGCCCACCTACAACCATCCACACACGTGTGAAAACATCCAACCATCCAGCCCATCACACACACACACACACACACACACACACACACACACACACACACAACCATTTACTCTACATATATATATATATATATATATATATATATATATATCCCTCCACAAATACAGCCATCTATTCATAAAACCATACATAGCCACATGCAATCCATCCACCCATACATACAAACAACATATATATATAAACATAAAAAAACATAATTCAATAATCCATCCCTTTCTTCCTTTTCAGCTACCCACTCCCCATCAGTCCAGTCCTCCATGCTTCCATTCCCCATGCAGCCCTCCATCTCTCCATCCATGTAGTAACCTCACCCTACTGACCTTTTACTTGCTGCCTATACCCTTTCCTTCTGTCCCACCTTATAACTTTTTCCTTACAACATACACACACACACACACACACACACACACACACACACACACATTCACATGCATGCATATACACACATGCACAGGTGTAGACACATGTGCATATACACACAAGCATACATGCATGTGCATACACACCTCGTTACACCTATGCCTTATTTATGCCCCAGCCTGAGGAAGGTTTTGCTAGCACTTCTCAGAGTACTCTGTCCTTTCCTTCCCGGCAATTGTCACAGATGCCACTAACCACGTCCTTGTGGTCTTATCTGCCAGGCCATACTGTAAGCTCAGTAAGCAGGTCTTTCCTTTCTTTAAGATTTTTCTTTAAATTTTATGGGTACGTGTGTGTGCTGTGTGAGTCTGCATACCATGTGCATGCAGAGGCTCGAAGAGACAATAGAGGGCACAAGACCCCCATGGAACTGGAGTTACAGACTGTTTGTTGTCAACACGTGGATGCTGAGACCTGAATCTGGGTCCTCCACAAGAACAGCTCCGAGAGACCAGGCCTCTCATCAGCACCTTCACAGAGCCCACCTGACATTCAGTGGGGCTCCATGAGGAGCTCTTGGTTCTAGGCAGAGCAAGGACCTAGCCACCTGGTAGGCAGTTGCTTGTGAATACAGTAGAGTCCAGATGTCTGTCCATGCTGATCACCTCCGAGGAAGTAGGAGAGAGTGTGTGTTTCTGAGAAGAGTGCGAAGCCGAGCAGGGAGGGTGTGCAGAGGGAGGGTGTGCAGAGGGCCGCCTCACTATGCTAGACCCTAACTGCTTAAGTCGATCAGCTGCTTCATCTCCATGAACCCTCATTTCCTCACAGACCAAATGGAGCTAATAAAACAAGAGAGAGTGGGGAGAAGGAAACACTATTATCATGAAATTGCTTTAAATTGTTTAAATCTATCTTCTGAGTTCTGCGGAAAGTTTTTTAAAAATAGATAAAAATTATTATAAGAACAAAAATCAGCCTGATTTATTGATGTGACTTTTTTATAGATAGGGCCAAGTAATGGAAATTAATAAACAACTAAAAATGCATATTTATTCAAATCTAGCTTGTCATGTTATCGGAGGCTCAAATGAGATAATGCATATGTAGTCTGTCTGGAAAGAGACCCGGGATAGGGTAAATGCTGGGTTTTCATTCTATTTGGATGGTTTGGGATAATCTTTGTTGAAGAGGTAATGTTTACACTAAATCATGAAAAATGTACAGGATTCCAGTATTTTAATGCTGAGAATATTAGATATACTTATTTGGCAGCTTTACAGTCTTCCCGTTTCTATGGCTGCATAACAAATGACCCCAAGACAGTGTGGTGCAGAACAGTGTTTTAAAGCTCACACTACGAGTCTGGAATCTGGACAGGGCACAGTGGGGACAAGACATAGCCAGTCCTGCTTGGTGGCAACTGAGGTCTCCATAGTGGTCACAGAGGCTGCAGGTGAAATCACTTGTGTTCATCTGGGCATCTAGTGTTGATGGCCATCACCTGGGAACCCCAGGTCTCCTCCACCAAGGTATTCCCATGCACACTCAGCTGAGCTTCGTCACAACATGGTGGCTGGATTCTAAGGGTGAGTATCTCTCAAGTAGAGCCAGGTAGATGCTGGCTCCTTTGAATGACTTCACCTTTAAGACCATGTAGCATCCCTTCCAGCATGTTCTATTGATAGAATAGTCTTAAGCTCCCAAGACTCAAGGGGAGGGTATATGTGGGAGAAGTGTGAGTCACACTGTAATAAGAGCATGTGGGAAGGGGGATAAATATTGATTCAGGCACCTTTGGGAAAGATGCTATCTGGCATATATCTGGCATATACACATCATCTCATACAACCCCGGTACGACTCGCGAGGAAGCTACCCTTGTATTTCGCTTTTGCAAGGGAGAAAATTATAGTTCCACAAAGTCAAGGGTCAAAGACTTGGGTGCATGGGGCCAGGATTTGAATTCGACCCTTGACGTCTCCAAAGTTACTATATAATATATTCAGTGCCTGCCAAAGTTAAAACAAGGATGCCGTCGGTAGCTGTTTCTTTTAAAACACTGAGTTCCATTATGAAGGATGCTAGAGAGCCAAGGTACCGCCATGGTGAGCTATGGCTCATCCTAGCAGCATTCTGGGCAGGTGCGTAGCAAAAATAAAGCCTAGCTGTGGGAAGTAGCTTGTATGCCACTCAAGGTGGCAGGCCAAGACATGGGCGTTAAAGCAAGAACGGCTGTTTGCAGTCTGGCTATGGAGAACCTGGAATCCAGGCAAAGAGGATCTAGACTTTCCTGGGGCAATAAGGAGACCCCACAGGCTCTAAGTGAGAAAAAAAGAAAACAGCCTAGGACAGTGTGTGTGGGGGTAGGGGCTGATCTAGATGTAGATTGGGATCCAGTGGCTCAACAAATGGGCTAACTTGTCGGGGAGGGCCTTGGTTTGTGAAACTGAAGGAAGAACTGAGGACTGTGGGGGATGGGGAAGAAACACCAATGACTGAGGATTTGAGCTCAAGTGACTAGGGAAAGGGGCGCGTAGAGGGCAATAAACAGGACAAAAAGTAGAGCTTGTTGAGGATGTAGCAAAGTCTCCCCATTCTCCCACCACTCACCCACACCCACCCACACTTACCCACACTCACCCACACCCACTCACACTCACCCACACCCACCCACACTCACCCACACTCACTCACACCCACCCACACTCACCCACAGCAGACTGTTAGGAATGGTGCCTTGGAGGCCAGGGAAGAGTTGGAGCTAGAGATCTGGAAGGTGTTTGCAGAGAAGTCATGGTCAAGGTTAGGTGAGCCAGCAAAGGATCAGGGTGTCTAAGAGGGTCAAGTCTGGGCTGGAAAAAGTGAGCAAGTATGCTAGCAGCCTTACACTTGGGTGTGCTACAGCATCTGCAAGCAATGGACTCAGGAACTCAGAGGCCCAGGTGTGTTCCATGGGGGCCTCCCATGTCCTGGGAAAGTGGGAAGTGGGGAGCACCAGGTCCCCAGGAACTGCCCGTGGCGGAGTAGAAGAGCTCAGGGCTGCCTTCAGCCAACAGAGCAGTTCTCAAGCTTGGCTCTTGCCTGAAACACTTCCGAAATAGTGATGCCTGAACCCCACCCACTCCAGCTCTTACCTCTGGAAAACACCTAGCCAAGAGGCCCCTGAGCCAGTGGGAGGCTGGCTGATCGAGGACATGAAGAGGCCATGGAGTTAGGCGTTGACAAAAAGCTTCTGCCACAGTAGGGCATGTGTTTTTGTAGTTAGGAAGGGGGCCCTGGGTAAAGGCGAAACAAGGGCTCCATAAGCCAGTCTGAACTCCCAGTGCAGATCGGCCTGCTGGTCCGGCAAGCCCAGGTCTAAGCGTGTCACAGTAATAGAGTAGAAGATGGAGTGAGGACTCACAGGGGTATCCCCATCCACACTCCCTACCAAAGAAATGGGAAGCTTTGAGGGTGGGGATCCCAACAGCAGTTTTTAATTCGGGTGCCTCCAATACACAGCCAACCAGCGCTTGTCGCAGGTGAGCATGGATGCTCATCACTGGGTGTCATCAGTCTATGTTCTGACCAGGCAGGTCCAGGGGCTCTGAGACTCTGCAGGTCTCAAGGCCCCCAGGGTACCTATGCTGTGGCCTCATGCATCACACTTGGAGTCTCAAGGATATGCATTTATTGTCAAGGTCATAGAAGTCCAGTTACTCTTTCCCAAAGCCCACTCCAAGACACTGTTGTGGGAACCAATCCCTTCACCCCAGTCCAGCCCAGCAGGCAAGCACACAGGAGACCGGAAGACCCCTACCCACCCACCCCACCACCCAGTCCACCCACACCTGCTCAGTGATTTCTCTGTTCTGTTTCCTCCTGGCTCACAGAAGAGCAGGGCTAGCAGCAATGTCTCTGCTTATCTGCCAAGGGCTGGGCATGCTTTAAAAAGAGCAACGGAGTGTTTATGTTCAGAGGAGGCCTAACTCATTCCAACATGCCCAGCCTTCCCACTGCCTAAGGGCACAGAGGTCCGGTCCCAAGATCCACAGCCTAATCCCCTGCTATACTGAAATAGTTCCACAAGGCAAGGAAGGGGGAAATGCAACCTAATTCCAGAGTTCAAGGTCTGAGTTCAAATCCTGGCTCTGTTCCTTGCTATCTATATGACCTTAGACACATTAATTAACTTAGCTGAACCCATCTGAGCAGGTTTTTCCATTGTAAAATGTGTGAAATAATGATAAGCCTCTCATGGCTGTTGGATAAATCGAGTCAAGGATGCATGGGTACAAATTACACAAAACCTAAATGTCAAAGCAGGACACATCACACAGACTACTAGCGGAAGTGTCCAAGAGCATGCCCTGTGACAGACCTTATTGTCTGTGAATGCCTTGAGCTGTATTCATAGCTATCCTGGAATGTGTGCTGCCAGGCAAGAGTACAGACAGGCTGGATATGCCTGGGGGGATGTGGGGCGCTCCAAGAGAGGTGGCCTTTTCTTCAGGACCTTCCTCGTGACCGCATTCTTTCTCTGCTCAGCAGTCCCAGAGACTCGATTGACCCCTGACCTCTGCACCTCCTCTCCCTACAGACATGGGGAGCTTCGAGGAAGGCGAGAAGCACCAGAGCGTGTCCCACGGAGAAGCTGCTGTCATCCGGGCGCCTCGAATCTCCAGCTTCCCCCGGCCACAGGTGACCTGGTTCCGTGATGGCCGCAAGATCCCGCCCAGCAGCCGCATGTGAGGTCCTACTCTGGGTAGACTGGAGGGAAGCCGGTCCTGGGGGAGGAGGTCTGGGGCCAGATGGTGTCTCCAAATGCCAAGGAGGGCCCTTCCTATAGAAACATCTCAGTCATTCTGTAACACAGCCAGCTGAGCACTCCCCTGGCTGGTGAAAGAAGTTCGGTTTATGAGGGATTTTCTTGGAATATGCGTGCAAGGACCAGGGCGTTGCCTCCACACTCAACCGGAGAAAAACTCTGCTCCCAGAGGATTTAAGTCACCCAAACATGCCCATACAAAGTTACCGTTGCCATAGGAACAGATCCAGGACTCCGGCCATGGCAGGGGTGGGTGGGTGCAGGTGTTTATGCTTCTTGGGTGTGGCTGGGCTTACTCAGTGTATTTTGACTGCAAGGAGTTGGTGTGGCCAGGGAAGGCTGGAATAGACACACACAGCCCTTTCAGCATGCACAAAGACCCTTCTGTCTTCCTCTAGCCTCAACTGTGGGCTTAGCAGTAAAGGCAACACCCTTCACCCCCCAGCAAGCTTCACCTCCTGAGCAGCTCACTCTGGAGCTACCCCAGGCTTTCCTCTCCACTCCAACTCTCCCATTCTTGGAGAAAGACTACCTTCTGCCAACCTGCCCCGGCTGGCTACAAAGTTGCAGCCTGTGCAGACTGCATGGGGGGGGGGGGGTCTTGGGGGGGGGCCCTCCCCCCAGCCCCACCACCCTGGTCTGTAGGGAGCAGAGGGAGGTGGGGACAGGTTTGCCTTTGGGAAGCATCAAGTCCCACAATAGAAGCACAATAATAGTAGCACAGTAGCCAGGCTGTGGTGGCACATGCCTTTAATCCTAGCATGCCTGGAGGCAGAGGCATGTGAGTTCGAGGCCAGCCTGGGCTACAGAGTGAGTTCCAGGAAAGGTGCCAAAGCTACACAGAGAAACCCTGTCTGGAAAAACCGGAAAAAAAAATTAGTAACATAGTAATATAGCAACTACAGAAGTTGCAGGTAGTGGAGTTAAGTTCTCAGGACTGTGCTAAGCACCACACACATGTCCCCGCTCCCTTCCGGCTGAGCAGCTGGTGAGGGAGGAAGGAGGCACTCTCTGCCTTGCCCTTTTTCCTATCCCAAGAGTATGTCCTGGCAACTTTGTCGCTCAGTGCTCAACCCTCACAACAGCCCCCGAAGCAGTTGACTTCACCCCACAGCAACACTAAAGCAGAGCAGCCGAGGGTCAACTACTTTTCCAGATCTTTCCTAGCCGCTGAGTCCTGATAATCCTTGCCTTCCGTGAAACATACGGGCACACAAGCACACAGACACAAGTAAGTGCACACAAGCACACAGACACAAGCACGTGCACACAAGCACATGCACACAAGCACACAGACACAAGCACTTGCACACAAGCACACAGACACAAGCACATGCACACAAGCACACAGACACAAGCACTTGCACACAAGCACACAGACACAAGTAAGTGCACACAAGCACACAGACACAAGCACGTGCACACAAGCACACAGACACAAGTAAGTGCACACAAGCACACAGACACAAGCACATGCACACAAGCACACAGACACAAGCACTTGCACACAAGCACACAGACACAAGTAAGTGCACACAAGCACACAGACACAAGCACATGCACACAAGCACACAGACACAAGCACTTGCACACAAGCACACAGACACAAGCATGTGCACACAAGCACACAGACACAAGTAAACGACTGTGCTTCACAGACCTGATCCTGACACAGCAATTTTCAATCTGACCCCGTGGGAGCTCTGAAATGAACCTATCCTTAGGTTCTTGCCTAAGACACTCGGACTCAATTTAAACCCCTTTGGCTGTCAGAATTTTTTAAAGCTCTGTTTGATTCTAATGTGTAGCCAGAGTTGAAAACCATCCTCAGAGTCAGGCTTAGTGGCACACGCCTTTAATCCCAGCACTTGGGAGGCAGAGGCAGGTAGATCTCTGTGAGTTCGAAGTCTGCTTGGTGCACATAGTTCAGGACAGCCAGAGCTGTCAAGATAGTGAGACCCTATCTTGAAAAAAGCAAAACAAGGGGAGAGGAAGAAAACTATTCTCAGTATGTATCAACTACTTACAGCCATGATGTTGCTGTGTAACAGAACATCTCAATAGATCGATAAGCATTTACTGTGTTTTTCTTAGGAGTGTGCAGATTGGTGGTCTAGCCTGGGCCAGGCTAGGTCCTTCTTGTGGTTGGGCTCATTTGTCTGGGGTCATCTGTTATTGACTGTCCTGGAATGAACTTTTGCTAAAAGGCAGGTTACTTGGCCACATTCCACGTGCCTCATCCTCTAGCCTATCAGCCCCAGCATATTGTCTGGATGTTTCACAAGAGAAAGGGAGGAAGTACACACATACCAAGCCTCTGCTCATATCCCATTGATAGAAACCATGACATGGCAGAACTCAGACAGAAGGCTCTCTGTATCCACACCACTGGGCTCTGGGTCTCATCCTGAACACATGACCAGCAAGCAGCATGGGGCATGGGTACCCAGCAAGGTGAAGGGTGGAATATGCTGCAGATGAACAAGTGGACAGTTGCCTTATGAGTCAAAGTGTGCCCCCACCCCAGGCCTAAAACTCAATAAAGCCAGTTGAGTGGATCACCCATCATGCAGCTGTTGAGATCACATTGTGGAAGGGAAATGGTCTACCACAGAGATGCTGGGGCATACCAATGAGTCCCAACTCATTTACCCCATCTTAACTCCCTCTCTGCGTGTATCTCTTGAACCCCAGGTGTGTCAATGAAGGCATCCTGCAAGCTAATCAATTGGCAGTGGCTGCCTGGAACTCAGAGCTGGAAACAGTTCTGAGGCTCCACCAACACTCATGGGAGAGAACATCATGGTTTGATTAGTAATGTCTGCCCTAACTGTGGAAGGGGGCATATTGGCACTCACCTACTGCATTTGCAGAGGGAGGTGAATCCTTTACGCCAGGCTCTCTTCTATGATCACTTTCCTACCACCATTCTTCATCCTTTTCTCATCCCCATCCTCCATCCTTATCTGCTTCTCATGCCTAGCACTTTTGCCAACAGGCTAGATCAACCTTGGACTGTGGAACTACGCACTCGCACACACACACTCATGCACGCACGCACACATGCACTCATACACCTGGTTATGCGTGACCACTCCCATCCACGTTCATAAACACGTCTACCAAATTTATGATGAAGCACTGGAGGAGTTTTATTTTGGTAATTATAGCAAATTAATATTCATAGGCGAGCAGGAAGGCTCCCTGGAAGCAAGTCCCCTGTGTCTGTGTGCCTGTGCTCACTATCTGATAAGTGCTATTAGCCGGCAGGCTGTGCAGAGCATGAAAGGCTGCACTATCTATCTGCAGAGTGTGCCTCTCACCCCCAGGCAGGACTCGGCCCCAAGCCTGCTGGTGAAAAGGAACATGATTCCTAGCAGAGACACATGCTGGGGGCTTTGGGCGCACTGTAGGATAGCTTACCCACTCCTTAATTAAATTATGGATCCAGCACTCTTGGAACTAAGGAAGGGGCTGCTGAGTGAGAGCAGCAAAATGGAGGCAGAGCTGGGGGCCAGGCCGGTCATGGTGAACAGAAGAAACAAGGGGAGAGGACCCAGCCCCTGCCTGAGAGGTGAGCATTGCTGTTGGTGCCCCACTCAGAGCTCCTCTCCCCAGCTTCTCCCAGTGTGTGTGCATCAGGGGTGCAGCAGGCTGGATGCTGTGGGCATCCTGGAAAGGAAGCACAGCATCCTTCCACAGTTACCTGAAAAGGGACAGTCAACAGGTACAGGGCTAGGGACCCCTCCTGAGAGAATCAAAGTGACAAGTCAGAGAGCCTCTGCTACCCATTCCACTCCATGTCTGGAACTTGAACCCATGCCCTGAGACTTCCCAGACTCCGTGGCTTCCAGACTCTATGGCTCCCAAGCTAGAGTGCTGGGGAAGGCAATGCCAGCCATAGTAACCAGCAGACCACATTCCAGGGAGCTAAAACCACAGAAGGTAAGGTTCTGCCCATCCAGATTCCAACCTGGAGCTATGGACAGGAAGGGTGACCTCACACAGTCACCTGAAACCAGGGTCACTAGAGCTGTCATCACCAAAACTGACCTCCAAGGTTCCCCTGCTCCAGCAGAGGGGAATTCTGCAGGAGTTCCCACTATCCAAGATTAGAGGTGTCCGCCACTCCACCCCAACCCCAGATGAGGGAGATGCAGAGCTATGCCTTACTGCCCAGCAGCCACAGCCTTGTACAGGAGAAGCAGCAGCTTACGGCTCCTCTTCAGACAGGCTTTTACAGTGTCTTGGTCCACTTTCCACGGCTAACTGCACCAACCTACAGACTGACTGAGTTAGAAAGGGGAGCTGTGTTTTGGCTCCTGGCTCTGGAGGTTTGAGTTTGAGGGGCCTTAGCTGGTCATAACCTTGCTGACAGAGTCATGAGGTGGTGTAGGGCATCATATGACTAGAAACAAGTGTGTGTGTGTGTGTGTGTGTGTGTGTGTGTGTGTGTGTGTGTGTGTGTGTGTGTGTGTTCTGGTCTCTTCCTCTTATGAAACCCCCAATATTCAATCATGAGGTTCTGCCCTAATGACCTCCAAACCCAACCCTAATCAAGCCCTACAGCTCCACCTCTAAATGCCAGGGTCAGGTAAAGTCCCTCCCCTTTCCTGCCTCATAATGAGAATTAGATTTATTTCAACTCATCAAGCTTGAAGAAGACATTCAAACCACACCCAGGCCACAGCACTCAAACTCCCACTGGACATCCAGGGTCAGACATATTCCCTTGGGGATGTATATACTGGCAGAAATCCTGGCCTCCACTACTAACTGTCCATGGTGCTCTCCCACAGCTGTGGCAATCAATTGCCCAACCATCATCAAAGGTTCACTGGGAGTAAAGTCACTCCTGCTGGTTGAGAACCACATATGACACATACGGTGTGTGTGCATCATATCGTCATCTGCATATCATCAGCCTTGCAAAACCGCCACTCCCATCATGCATTAAACACCATGCCACATCTAGAAAACTCCCTAAAAGAACAAAAAGGGTCATAAATCCTGCTCTAGAAAAACTTTAACCCTTTCCTAAAATCTCCCCTTCACTCATGAATAATGCCCTCCTCCAGTAATTTGCTCACAGAATGAGCTATCTAAACTCCCAGTGTCGCGGGATGGGGAAGGACAAGCAGAAAGCTCAGTCAGAACATGCACAAGGTACAGCTAAGGCTGAGAGCGGGAGTTAGGCCGGAGGGGCTTCCCAGTCAAGGAGGGAAGAGTTGAGTGTGCTCCTTCTCTGGCACAGAACAAGTGGGTGACTAGACAGTAGGTCCCCTGGAGACTCTGTGAGACCTGTCCCCACAGAAGAACGACTCAGGAAGCTGCATCTACATGGGTCCAGTGCCCTGAGAGTCCCTCCATCCTGAAACCTGACTGTGCCAGGAGAGGGCTATGAGGATGAGGACAGGCAGTGGACTACTCTACTGCCAGGCACCAAGTGACAGAAACAGCCATGAGGCTGGGAGATGTCTTAGCAAATATTCTCTTCTACCTTTGCAAGGACAAGAAGACAGAGCCCACCTAGCATTGGAGGAAACACATGATCCTCAGAGGCCAGGGACCCATGCCAGAGCTCAACCCCAGCTCTACCCACCCTGCACAGTCCAGACCCTTCCCCCAACTCACAGCTCCGCACTCCACAATCCACACCTAAGGACAGGGCTCTAGGTGAGACAAGGAGGCCCTCAGATGGAAAGATGGTCACCAGCCCAATCCTACATCTGGCATTTAATATATTTTAGCATGGTGCTGGGAAAGCTGGACCTACATGATCCAAATACCCTAAAAGTCCGTCCATCCTGAAGTCAGACTGTGCCAGGTGAGGGCCGTGGAATGGGTTGGTAAGGTGCTTGCCTTGAAAGCCTGAGAACATACTAAGCACAGCATGGGGGCTCCCACTTGTAATCCCCACACTGGGGAGGCAGAAACGAGAAGATCCCTAGGGCTTCCAGACCCTGCCCAGACAGCCTAACCCACTTGGTGAGTTCCAGTCCAGCAAGAGACCCTGTCTCAAAGTGGGTGGACAGCACATGAGGAACAACCAGCGTGGTCCTTTGGCCTACACACACACACACACACACACACAAAAAAAAAAAAAAAAAAAAAAAAAAAACACGTGCACATGGACCCACATAAACATACATCCAGACTGTTGTTTACACACACACACACACACACACACACACACACACACACACACACACACACACAATATTCTAGCATAGCTATAACTCTATTCCTGCCACCTCATTAGCTAAAGTTAAAAAGAACTCTCCATGGGGAAAATAGGGCATCACTAGGGTCCCTAAGCATTGGGGGCCAGACAGCTTGCCACCCTACTGCCCAGAACTCCCCTGATGGTGTGAGGACTCTCAGCCTGAAAAGCCCCAAAATGAGGAGCAGCGGGGTGGAGACGGCATAGCCAGGCTAGGAGAGAGCTGGGCCAGAGAGACATTAGTGAGGATGTTTATCTGAGAGCCTGTTTAAAACTCTGTAACATTCACCTAATGGGAAAATTTGAAGAGAATTCAACTGGATTTGTCCTTGTTAAACTAACATTAAGGATGTTTAACAGCTGTCTCGGGCACATCGCATTACAATCCGGAGACAGACTTGGCAAACTAATGGTTTTGTTTGTCATCAGGAGAATGGGTAAAAGAAGCTGGGCAGAGCTGGTGTGGGCAGCACTCCAGAACCCCTTCACACCCGTTTAAGGGGATCCCTGGCTCTCTGTCTTCCTGCCTGCTGACCTTGTGATGAGAACCGGGAAAGGGAAGCAGCTTGGAACAAAAGGCCCAGACCCTGTGGACCAGCCCAGTTCACAGAGGGAAGGGGAAACTGATCCCCAGGGTGGAGTCTAGAGGGGGGTGGCCCTCAGAAGTCTGGTGCAGGCGAGCTGTGGCCTTGGAGTTGGCTTCAACAGGTTTAGGAAGCAGGCCAATCCCAGGGCCGGGGAGATGGCTTCATCCAGACAGTGCTTGCCTTGCAAACACAAGGACCTGAATTTGATCCCCAGAGCCCAAGTGCAAAAAGAAATCTGCTGTAGTGAGTCACAGTTGGAACCCCAGTGCTGGGGAGACAGAGACAGGCTGATCCCTGGGGTTCACTGGCCAGCTGCTCTAGCTGAATCCATGAGTTCCAGGCCAGTGACAGACCCCATGTCAACAAACAAGGATGGACATCTGAACGACACCTGAGATTGACCTCTGGCCTAGGCACAGACACACAGATACGCGTGTTCATTGTCAATCACTCATTCACTCTGCAAACTTTTGGCAGAGGCAACCTCACAAAGCCATCAAAGCTCTGACATGGACAGGAACAGAATCCCAAGAGGGTCAGAGAGAATGGCCCAAACCTGACCCTGGGATGGGCTCTGAGAAAGCTCAGCTTCAGGGAATGAAGGGACGGTTGGGATGTGGTGGGCAGCACCCTAGTCATGGTAGAGTCTCTACAGACACTGTCACTGGGTTTTAGCAGTAAACGGCTGGGGTGGGGCTGGGGGCCTCTTGGAGGTTGCTAGAGGAGAAAGTACAGTCAGTCTACCTACATCCGATCCCCCAGTCACACCCCCTGGCTCCAAGCCCTTTGGGCCGCTGTCCAAAGAATCTCTTGCCTCTTCTCAGAGCCATCACGCTGGAAAACACCCTGGTCATCCTGTCCACAGTGGCTCCCGATGCTGGTCGCTACTACGTGCAGGCTGTTAATGACAAGAACGGAGACAACAAGACCAGCCAGCCCATCACTCTTGCCGTGGAGAGTAAGTAAGCGCAGGGCCCGGGACGTCACTGAACAGAAACCAGCGGGTCATTAAATCTCAAGAACGGGGCTCCAGGGGGCTGTTGGGAAGATCGAATGGTAGGGGAGGCAGGGCTGGGGTGGAGGGGTGGAGCTGTCTCCAGAGGAGGAGGAGCTGCAGCCTGAGTAGGGGGACACCATGAGGGAAGCCAATGAAGGTCACAGGCAGGGGGAAGTGGAGTTCTGGAAGGTGCTTCCATGGCAGACACAACTCCGGGAAAGGGCAGGCTTATTATTAGCACTACCATGTCCACTGGAGGCTAGGAGAAGGCAGAGGCAAGTGAGAGAGTGTGTGCTCGCATGTATGGATGCCAGCCACCCCAGGCTCAGGTGCGGATGGAGAGAACACCGGTGGAGATCGGAAGCTCATTTTCAAAGAAGTACACACTAACTGTCTGCCCAGCTGGCACATAAAAGTGCTGTTTCCGCTCCAAGCCGGGCATTCCTCTCAACAGGCTCTTCTCCAGATTTCTACCTCTGCCCCTCTTCAGATGTGGCTCCATGGGAGAGACAGGCCCAGGAGCTCAGCCCAACATAACCCACCCCAGTATCCTCCAGCACAGAGACACTCACTCCTTCAGATGAGACCAGAGCAGGGTTCTCCCTACGAGACTGGCCTCAAGGCTGGAGAAGGTGGGGCAGATGGCCAAGGTGCCTCCTAGGCTGGACTTCATCACTAAGATGAAGTCAGGGTTTGGGGACAAGACCACCGCTTCCTGTAGCAGCTGAGCACCATACAAGCTGGGAGAGCCAGATGTTCACATACCTCCACATCTGTATGATTCCCACTCCCAAAGCACTTCTCATTTATCATCCATGCTGCACCCATACACATCCAGCAGCAGCAAGTTTAGTGTCTCTGCCCCCCTCTTATCCTAGCTTCTGTCTGCCAGTATCTAGAACATTCCCAGCCCCTGCTGCCTCCTCCCTGGGCCTTCTGAGCTCCAACAGGACTCTTTTCTGTGAAACCTGAATTAGGGGTGGAGAATCCGCTCTGGATACTGTCCAGGGAGGGTCATGGATGTCACCTTTGACCTTGACCTGAGCCAGGTCTATTTATACAGGAACAAGGAATTTGTCAGCAAGGGGGAATGCTTTTTCTAGAGATTTCTCAGTGATAAGGTTACTCAGAGTCTCCTGGAATCCAGACATCTTTTTCAAGCATTAGTGTCAAACTAGGTACAGCTCAGTGCATTGAGTGTTTGCCTACCACACACAACCCTGTCTCCACCCCAGTGCCACATAAAAACAGGTTGGTGGCAAATGCCTGGAATCCCAGCATTTAGGAGGTAGAGGCAGGAGAATCAGGAGTTCAAGGTCATCTTTGGCTACAGAGGGAGTATGGGGTAATCTGAGACACATGAGACATATGGGAGGGGTGGCCCCTGCCTTTAATCCCAACACCCTGGAGGAAGGGCAGGAGGGTCTCTCATTATGTAGACCGGCCATTCTTGTCGGTATAATGAGATCCTGTCTCAGAGAGAGAGATGGGAGGGGAAGAGGAAGAGGGAGAGAAGCACACACTGAGAGACAAAGTCATGGAGTGAGTTGTCCAAGTTAAATCCAGGCATCTTCTTTTCTCTTTTTCTTTTTTTCCTTTATTAAGAAATTTTCTACTCACTCTACATACCACCCACAGATCCCACCTCCTCCCTCCTCCCATCTCCCAGCCCTCCCTCCCAAGCCACCCCACATCCCCACATCCCCCAAATCAAGGTCTCCCATGGGGAGTCAGCAGAGCCCAGCACACAGAGCCTAGACAGGTCCAAGCCCCTTCCCACTGCACCAAGGCTACACAAGGCGTCACTCCACAGGCACTGGGCTCCCAAAAGCCTGCCCATGCACCAGGGATGGATCCTGATCCCCCTGCCTGGGTGCTCCCCAAACAGTTCGAACCAAACAACCGTCTTCTGTATCCAGAGGGCCTAGTCCAGTCCCTTGGGGGCTCCACAGCCACTAGTCTACAGTTCATGGGTCTCCAAGAGTGTGACCAGTCATCTCTGCACTTTTTCCCATCATGATCTCGACGTTCCCCACCTGCAGAATCCCTCCTCTCTCTCATCGATTGAAATCCAGGCATCTTCTTGAATGACTCAGTTTATCCCAGAGCCCTCCTCTGTTCCTCCTCCAGCATCTGGCTCCTCCTCTTAAGAATTGAGGCAGCCCATGCTGGCACTTTCTGTTCTACCTCAAACCACCCCAGCCTTCCAAACAGCCCAGGTGAGGCCAGAGAGCCCCTGCCGCCCCCCTCATCTACCTCTACCCCAGTCCCCCTCAGCTGCCAGTCTCCCTGTTCCAAAAGGCCTCCATTTCTGCATCCTCGACTGTGATTAAAGCCGGATCTGGAGCAAACTCGGCTGATTTTTAGCTAATTTCCCTCCCACGAGTGATTGCACTTCAAAACCCTGTGCCTGCTCTGACACGGTCCCCCAGCCTGCCTGCCAGCCAATTTGTGAGAGCAATTGCCACATCGTCGCCCACCAGCAGCTCAGCTCCCCTGTTACCTGGCTTGAAGCCACACCCTCCTTCTCCGTCCTCCTCCTCCCTTCCTTTCCCCATCAAGCTCTGCTCCCTCCAGCTCAGCAGCTTCTGAACAGCCCTTGGGGGAGCCATGCTCATTGTTAATGGAGAAGGAAAGAGCCAGGCTGGTGACCCCAGAAATTACCCCTAGCATCACAATCCTGAAAGTTCACACCCATCTGATACACACACACACACACACACACACACACACACACACACACACACACACACACACATGGATCAGACTTCTACTATTGTATAGAAATATAATATAGAATAAAATAGAATATAAATATGAGCCCCACATATCATTTAAAATTTTTTCAGTGACCCCATTTTTGTTCACTTATATTACTATTTTATTTTTTTTAAAGTTGGATTTCTTTGATTTTGTTTTTGAGGCAGAATTTTGTAGAGCCCTTGAACTCCCTATGTAGCTGAGGATGACCTTGAATTCCCTGTGTAGCTGAGGATGACCTTGAACTCTGGATCTGCCTGCCTCCACCTCTCAAGTGCTGGGATTACAGGCGTGCACCACCACACTGAAGCTTACCTCATTTTTCACAAAGTAAAAAGGAATAAGCAGAATTCATTTTATTAATGTGTTTTATTTAACCCGATGTATCGAAAATATCCTTTTAGCATGCCATCAATATAGAATATATTAGCAAGATATTTTACACCGGATTTTTTTTTTTTTTTGCGTGCTAAGTCTGAAATCTCTGCGTGTCTTACACTTGAAGCGCATCTCAATTTGAATGCTAAATCTTCATCTGAAATACGTGATCCGTATTTAGATTTCATCAGATTTACAGCCATAAAGGTATAGTCTTACGCCAAAGTTGTTCCACTTCTACTTAAAAGTGTTCTAATAACTGGATTGGGGAATCCGCTTTTAATTAAATGTAAATTAGTTAAAATTAAATCTCATTAAATCAAACGGACGCAAGCCACATTTCAGGAGCTTAGTGGGCATGCGTGGCCTGTGGTCCATGCTGGAATGGCCTGGACTTTGAGGCCTGGATACCCTGAGGATGGAAAGCTGTTGTCCTCGGGGTTGGGAATGAGCAGGTGTCCATGTCCATCAGGTCTTTTCAGGAAAGAGCTAACGGCCCTTTGATGCCCACTTGCAGCTCCTGGGGCCAAGTGAGTCACTTGCTCCCTGAGCCTGGCTGCTTCCACTATATGGTGATAGCTGAGGCAGTGCCAAGAGGAGCCCAGAGGGAACTGTCCCTTGTTGCCACTGTGACAGAAATAGTCCTAGGCTGCTGGATCCAACATGGCTTCCGCTTGAAGAGCTCCATCTGGGCCTTGTCCCTGGGACCTTTTTTTTGTTTGTTTGTTTTTTTTTGTTTTTTTTTTTTTTCGTTTTTCGAGACAAGGTTTCTCTGTGTAGCTTTGCGCCTTTCCTGGGACTCGCTTGGTAGCCCAGGCTGGCCTCGAACTCACAGAGATCCACCTGGCTCTGCCTCCCGAGTACTGGGATTAAAGGCGTGCGCCACCACCGCCCGGCATCCCTGGGACCTTTTAAACCAGCAATTTTCAGAAAGATGTCCTCCCTGTCTGGGCTTGTCTATGAGGTCTCAGCTTCTCTGTTAAGGTTCTGGTCACCACAGCATCCCAGGACTGTGGGGACTGTTATGATCCATACACGCCAGAGCCACCTTGTTGATTGTCCATCCCAGCCATGCTTGTGAGGGCCTGATCTACCTCAAGATCAGTAGCCCCTCCCCAGGTACCAGTCTTGCCTCCCCAACCCTGACTGGTGGCAGGAACCTCACAAGCATGAGTTGTTCCCACAGAGCCCCAAAGCTAAAGCCTTGGCTTCTGCCCATTCTGCATCATGGTATTGAGGGTTATCTTTAAGCCTTTATCTAGAGCATAAATTGAATGCAGCACACACCCGCATTCTGGTGCCTAGGCTGTGCCTCACCACAAGAGGTCACAGGATACCTGGTGGCCAAGCAAACTGATTCAACACAGTCTCCCAGCAAGCAGCACAGGACAACCAGGTATGTCCTGCAAAGTTGAGTAGCGCCATACCTGGTGGCTTCTGACATCACCTTTGTTATCCTCTGCTCTGAGGCATTGCCTCCTTCCTCGGGACTTAAGGCTCTGGGCACTCTGAAGGCTCCCTGGCATCCTCTCTACAGCAGTCCTCAGTGGCAGATGGTTAGGCTGCCATTACCCATACTTTATATTACATTTATTTGCGGGGCGGGGGCACACATGCCAGAGCACACATTTGGGAGTCAGAGACAACCTGAAGGAGTCCCTTCTCTCCTTCCACCATGTGGGTCCTGGGGATCAAATGCAGATCCTCAGACCTGGTGTCAAGTGCCTTTCACTGCTGAGTCTTGTAACTGGTTCCCATTATCCATATTTCATAGGTGACAAAAACTGAGGGGACTGGCCAAAGAAATAATATCATCACTTCCC